GCGCTTGCTGGCCACATCTCCGCCCGTACAACAAGCACAAGCTTGAGTTTCGTTCCAAAAAGTGTGTTTTTCTGGGCTATAGCTCTCTTCATAAAGGGTACCAATCGTGTCTACATATCCCGGGATGTCGTGTTTGATGAGCATGTTTTTCCATTTGCCAAGCTTCCTGTGTCCACTGTTGAACCACCCTCCTTGCATTCATCCTCTGTTGCTGCTGACCAATTTGATGATATTGCATACTCTTCTATATTGTTGCCTAACCATGGTGCAGGCACTGGATGTGGGGCGCGCTTGGAAATTCTGGAGGCGCCAGTGGCTCACGACGATCATGGTGAGTTGCATGGCCTCGGCCCCCTGCCCATGCACGTCCGGTCGATCTTCCCGCGACGCATGCTTCTACGCCCATGGACTCTGGGCCGGCCTCGCCGCTTCGGCCTGTCGCGACTACCGCACCAGAGGAGTCTGGGCCGGTCTCGCCTAGGCTGGTTTCCTCGCCATGCAGCCCGATGGCCCCGTAGGCCTCGACACACTCGGCTCCTGAGCCGGCCTCGGTGCCATGCAGCCCGGTGGCCCCATCGGCCTCGGCGCCCCTGGCCTCGCTGCGTTGCTCGCCGCCCTCGGTGCCTCTGGCTTCTGAGCCGGCCTCGCCACCTTGCTCGGTCACGCCGGCCTCGTCGCTTCCTCGGCCTTCCTCGCCGGTTACGCCTGGGCCAAGCTCACCGGTCTCCGGTGTGCTCTCACCGGCGCTCTCCGAGGTCTCTCCGTCGTCAGCCGAGCTGTCCTCGCCATCGTCGCCATCATCACCAGAGTCCTCTCCGGCTCCTGTACCTACTGTGCTCCCTCAGCGACCACATACACGGAGTCGCAGTGGCATCTTTTAGCCTAAACAACGGCATGATGGGACTGTTGCTTGGTTGGCTGCCTGTATGGCTGCTGCTCGTGCGGATCCTTCCTCTGAACCGCGCACGTATCAGGCTGCTTTGAGTCTACCTCATTAGCGAGAGGCTATGGAGCAGGAGTATCATGCTCTCCTTCGTAACAAGACATGGACTCTTGTTCCGCCACCACCCCGTGTTAATGTCATTGACTCCAAATGGGTTTTCAAAGTGAAGAAGCATTCAGATGGTTCTATTGAGCGCTACAAGGCGCGGCTGGTTGCTCGAGGTTTTCGGCAGCGTTATGGTCTTGATTATGAAGACACCTTCAGTCCAGTGGTTAAACCTACTACTATCATGCTTCTTCTCTCTCTTGCAGTTACTCGGGGTTGGTCTCTTCGTCAGCTGGATGTGCAGAATGCTTTTCTCCATGGTGTTCTCGAAGAGGAGGTATATATGCGGCAGCCTCCAGGGTTCTCTGATCCCGATCGTCCTGATTATCTATGTCGGCTTACTAAAGCACTCTATGGTCTGAAGCAAGCTCCTCGTGCTTGGCATGCTCGTCTTGCGATGGCCCTTCGTGCTCATGGTTTTGCATCCTCAGCTGTTGACTCCTCGTTGTTTCTTCTTCAGAGGCCTGCAGTTACCATGTATCTGCTTGTTTATGTGGATGATATTATCCTTGTCAGTTCCTCTCAGTCCGCTGCTGATGCTCTTGTTCGGTCTCTTGGTGCTGATTTTGCGGTCAAAGATCTTGGGCGGCTTCACTACTTTCTTGGAGTTGAGGTTGCTTCTGTGTCCAGTGGTCTGATTCTGACGCAAAAGAAGTACTCCTTGGATTTGTTACAGCGAGCTGGGATGCTTAAGTGCAAACCGACTACTACACCTATGTCTGCTACTGACAGGATTACTGCTGTTGCTGGTGATCTCCTGTCTTCTGCTGATGCGACACAGTACAGGAGTATTGTTGGTGGTTTGCAGTACCTGACTATCACACGTCCTGACATCTCTTTTGCAGTTAACAGAGTATGTCAGTATCTTCAGGCACCTCGTGATACTCATTGGTCTGCAGTGAAGCGCATCTTGCGCTACATTCGTTTCACATTGTCCTATGGTTTGCACTTTCGACCGAATCCCTCTGGGGTCATCTCGGCGTATTCTGATGCGGATTGGGCTGGCAGTCCAGATGACAGGCGATCCACGGGGGGCTATGCTGTGTTCTTTGGTTCTACTTTGATCGCCTGGAGTGCTCGGAAACAGGCTACTGTTTCACGTAGCAGTACTGAAGCTGAGTATAAGGCTATGGCTAATGCAACTGCAGAAATTATCTGGATACAGTCTTTGCTTCAGGAGTTGGGAATATCTCAGTCACAGTCCCCTATTCTTTGGTGTGATAACATCGGTGCTACATACCTATCTGCTAATCCGGTATTCCATGCCCGAACGAAACACATTGAAGTGGACTATCATTTTGTACGGGAACGGGTATCTCAGAAGCAACTACAGATCAAGTTTATCTCTTCCAAGGATCAACTTGCGGACATCTTCACCAAGCCATTACCTCTTCCACAGTTTGAGACTTGTAGGCGCAATCTTACCCTTCTAGATTCTTTAGGAAGTGGCTAAGATTGAGGGAGGGTGTTAGACTGTATAGTCTCTGTAGTTGTATACATACATATACGTATGATGTAACTTGTACCCGTTTGTTATATATATGTGAGATAGGCCACCCCTAGAGGGTTGAGCCGGTTCCCCCAACTCTATTGTCTTACATCTCCTACCCTCCTTGAGCCGGCCATGGATCCCCTATTTTCCTACCTATTGATTCTGTCATGGATGTGTCCCCCCTCGACGCATCTAGATCGACGGAGTCCAAGTGCACCCCAACGAAAAGTGAGGAAAAAATTGTTCCCATGGCTTTGATCTTGTTGCTGCAAAATCACCATGGCCCTGTTGCCGGAGGTCGTGCTACAAGCCCTGGGCAGCGGAGCTGCGACCACAAACACCGACCAACGGCAGGATTCGTGATCATCGACTGCAACATAGATGATGTTGCGGTGGCAACGACCACAACATGCAACATGGATGATGTTGTGGTGAGGACTCCAGTGATGGTGATGGAACAGTAGGTACGCAACATCGTCCACGTTGCAATTGGTCGCCGCAACATGACTCATATTGCAATGGATGACAAAAAGGCCCACGTAACAAAACTATTGTGCGGACAATCCTTCCTCGCCTGATATGTGCAGAATGCACGGCTGCACTTCCATCCCATGCATCAACGGCTTGATTTCGCATGTCGGGCACGTATCGGCCAAAAAGTGTCGTTTGTATAGTAGGACTCCCCACGTGATGCAATGTCACACAAGCCAAATGTGACCGCAACATGGTGTGTTTTGCAATGAGTGCCCACAACATGGTTCGTTTTGTGATCATCCTATGGATGTCTCTGACAGATCAAACGGCTGCCGACCCAGTCGATCTGATCAGCCGGATGACGCATAAGTCCGCGTCTCAAAAATTATATTGGAATCTTTACCTAATAATAAAGCACATATTGCTTCTAGCGGTACGTCATTAAAATTGCCCCCAAAATTAATATTACCCACCAGTGCCACCTATAAGTGACAAAAAACGTTTTGCAGGGAATCCCAGCCTGGGCCGGCCAAAGCATAGGGACCTACTATACTGCGCCCCACGCGCTGGAGAATGCACTACACGCCCGTTTGCGCCGGCCCATGTGCGGGCATCTATTTTTTTAGTTTCATTTTTTTATTTTTCTATTCCGTTTTTGTTTTTTCTACTTTAAATAATTTGGAACTTAAAAAACTTTTCAAATTTAAAAAACTGAGAATTTTGAAATAATTTGTTCGAGATAACATAAAATGTTTGTGAATTCAAAAAATTCTTGGGATTTTTCTAAAAATGTTTGCATATTCAAAAAAATGTTCATAAAATCAAAAAAGTCCATCATTTTGGAAAAAAAGACATTGTATTAAAAATCCATGCCGCTTCACTAGACTTTCCTGAACCATCCATTTGATCCCCAGGATCGTGCAAAAGTTTCCAAAATCCAATGCAGAACCAAGCAGTATTAATGAAATTGAACAAAATGTTTGCTAATACAAAAAATGTTAATGCATTTTTTTAAATGTCCTAAAATTTTGAAAACAGTTCGTGAATTACAAAAGAGTTTATTGATTCATAAAATGTTTGTTGATTCAGAAAATCTTCATGCATTTCGAAAAATATTTGTGAGTTTCAAAAAAATCCATCAATTTCGCAAAAAATGTTCGTCTATTCTAGAATTGTTCGCCGGTTTAAAAGAAAATGCTTAAAAACCGTTCACGATTTAAAAAAAATGTTCACAATTTTAAAAAGAATGTTTGTAAATAGTAAAAAAATTCAATTTTTTTAAAAATGGTCCCATTTTTTTAAAAATGTTCACAAATAATCGAAGGTGTGTAGTTAAACAGTAATGCTTCTGAGTCTTTGTGACTATATACCTGCGTGAACTTTGAAGAATTAACTGTCGGGGTGGATCGGAATATTATAGTATATTTTAGAAAAAAAATTCTTGAAATTCAGAATAATTCTTTGAATTACCAAGTTTTTTGACAACCACGATATTTTTTTGAAAATGTGAACATTGCTTCAATTTGTGAATGTGAATAAATTTAAAAAAACATTTTCTTGCATTTATGAACAAATCTTCAAAATCATGCGTTGAGATTTGAACAAAATGTGGTCATTGTAATTGAAGATTATGATTTTTTTTCTCCCGTTGAAACGCACGGGCACTTTTTCTAGTAAGGAATAAACCGGGTTGTAACGATCTGTCCTTTCATCCCCAACACCAAACAAAAAAGAAAGTAACCAGGGAGGTGCCAGCTCACAAACTGCAAATACCACATTTTATTTGAGTGCAGTAGTTCAATGTTCAGCACAAGCAGACCCCGATACGAGCAATCACACACATACCAGCAGACCTGCGGCAGACAAAGATGCATGCGCTATAGGCTATATAGCTAAGACCATAACATAAACCGTGGGTGCTCGCGTGATGACTCCTGAAGAGTGACACTGGCTTATTACAAAAGGATGGCCGCTAATTCATTAGGTTTACTTGAGGTTCTTGTTAAACCAGTCAACCATGTCCGCCAGGGCTTCCTCGGCGCTCTTCACAGCAGCTGCGTCTTCGCTTTTGTATCTCACGGTCCATCCATGAGAAACCCCAGGGAAGATCTTGACAAAGTGAGCAATCTGTAGGTCCATAAGAAATCATATCAGGAATTCAGGATGGAAGATCTTGAGCTCCAGTTCTCAAACAATAATGTGTCTCCAATTTATGCACATTCTACTGTACTTTCTGACTTAATGTCTCTCAAACAATAATACATCCTTTTCCCTCTTTTTCATCATGATACCTTTAATGCTAGTGAATATTAGATGGAAATAGAATAATACCTTCTCACATTCAAGAAAACAAGATGCTCAGATGGATAATAACACTAGCTTGTAACTATAAAATGCTAAGGTTTGCCCAGGGGCTCATAAAGTAAAAGCCATGAAGCCTGGATGGCTCTTAATTGCAAAATGTCTGATGTACCTACTTTAACATCAAAAGGCAAATTGGTACATAATTTGGGAAGGAAGTAGAAACAAGTAATGCCGGAACAACCAGACAACATTCTGGTCAGATACAGTTCCGCACCAGGGCAGCTCCAAATTTGACAATTAGTTTAGCCTTTGTTATATCACATATTCTATAGCTTGAGTAGATCATGCTTGGTTTGAGAGTATTTAACCAAAAACTACCACAATTCACGGAACCGTGACGAAAAACTACCACTTTACGATTTTGTGCGAAAAACTACCGCTTTTTTCCTAAACTGTGGCAAAAAACTACCAAGTCTGAAAAGAGCCCGATTAGGCTCTTTTAAGTGCGTTTCTGACAGAGTTGGCCCACACATAAGCAGGCTAAAAAAGCAATCGGGTCCCTGTTTTCTTTTTCAAAAAGCAATCCAGTCCTTGTGAGGCCGCCGGCCAGGGGCGCGACCAGGGGCGCGGCGGGGCCAGGCGCGCGGCCACGGGCGCGGCCAGGGGCGCTCGG